AAAAAAAAAAAAAAAAAAAAAAAAACCAAAATAGGCCATTAACATCGTAATGGAAGCTAATTAAGCATTTCGCAATCTTTCAGTAGGACAGCCTGAACGTACAAAGGCATTTTAGAAAGGAATGTTCTTCAAGAAAGTTTAAATATTACTCCTTCAAGGACTTGAAAGGAAATATAAATGCAACGTAAAACTTGTACAACTTATTGCAACAAAATTTCAAATGATCCAAAACAATAACTATAGAGGTAGGTAAAATTTCTTGATCAAGTATTAACTGATCCTCTCTCTATATACCAACCATCTATTATCACCAACTGCTATGCCTAATGAAGACGAACCCAATTTAAACTGATAAAAAAGGAAGGTGAAAGGGTGAAAGAGTATGGGACACAAGTGAGGGAGCAAGAAAGAGACAGAAAGGGTGAGATAAGGATCATCTGTTGGAAACTTGGCTATTGCCTTCTAAGTTAGAGCTACAAACTTAAATAAACAAACCAGGAAACTTAGAACAACAATCTGAAATTTGGAAAGCATGACAGATACAGCAACCAGTCTAACCTTTGGAATAGTATAAGGAGCATTACCACCAAGTACTGAGTTTATTGCTACACAATCATGGAACAAATCTTTAGGATAAAAAAGTTTGTTGTCAACATTTGAAGCTACCCATGGCGTATCTTGGAGGATGGTCAAAAGCGATGATTTGAATGGTTTGTGCTCCCCAGCAAAACCAATGTAATAACCAGTAACTTTGTCACTGAAATAATCATTCCACAATCGATCAAGAATCTCCAAGAGATATTTAGATTTCTCCTTGTCATGTTTTGAAGATAGCCGAGTCAATAGTTGAAATAACTCTTCAGATTCCCAATTTTTAGCAATTACATCAGTAGACATGATGATGTCTTTGACATGCACGACATCCTTTTTATCAGCAAGAGATATATCAGCAACGCTTTTCTCTACTTGAACTACTTGAACAAAATCAGTTATTCCTATTTCCTTCAAAAAATTCCTCCACTTCAATACTCCTCCAGATATAGACTTGGAAATTGAATGCTTCACGTAGGCAGCATCAATTTCATGCCATCTCATATCCATACCAGTAATTAGCCTACTCATATCAACAGGATTTTCAAACTCCTGACTAAAATGTATAGGTACCTCAGAAGTTCGTTTGAAGCCATAATTCGTCAGAATGAGAGCCTTTTCCTGCAACTCTGCAATAATGCTAGCCCTTTCTAGGCTACAGGTCATACAACTTGATTGCAAGTGGAACATTGCAAAGGCAAGGTACTCAATCATCAATTCTTTCTGCCCAGTTGCATTTTTTTCATCAGATATGGCTGGTATGATTTGTACCTTCACAACATCATGAACAGACAACTGCTGGACACCAATTTTATAAAGCATTTTTGTAACATTCTCCTTAATAGTTGTGTCAGAACATGAGGATGCTCCCAAAAGGTCAGGACTTACAATACGCAGTTTTGCATACAATTTTGGGAAAGCCTTCAGAAGACGCTCATCATTAATATCTTGACTTACCGGCTCTGAATGCAACCAAATGGTGCCCTCGTCCAGTGAGCTGTATTTACCATCTGAAAGAGGGATAAAAGGTATTTTCTGAAGGTTCGTTATCCAATCAAATTCAGACACAACACTTGGAGTGGTTTGCATTAGAAACTGGGATGACATCATATAGACAGCGTTGAACCAAGAACATAACCAACTGATGCCCACCGACTTTAACCCATTATCTGAACAACACAGTGAAGAAATGACCCCAAGTAGAATTTTTGGTCCATACTCTTCCACACCCAAAGCCTTCGCCAATGAATCAGAGAGAACAATGTCTTTATTCAAGTACCCAAGACCAAGATGCTCGCGCAGTAAACTATCAGGTAATAGATCACGAGTTTGCTCAGTCCAATTTCTCAGGACCTTGCAAGGAGGGGCCCATTTGATTTCATCACCTTCTAGAATCAAGCAGTCTGACATGCGCAATTTGGAAATTATCATTCGTGGTAAGCTAGAAAAAAACCCATGCACCTCACCCACTAGAGGAATAAAACTCATGAACACTGTAATAGCTTTCCCAGGGATCCCTCTATAACAAGGTAGAGCACAAAATGACCTCTCAGCACTGACAAACAAATCAGGGAATTCTGAAAGCAACCATTGGTTCCATGGACTATTGCCATCAACTTCTTCCCTGGAAGAAGGCAAAACAAAATCCCCTTGGAGAATAAACTTAAGGCCATATGTCCTCAACGGAAGAAATGCAAAAACAGGTTGTTGATTCAGAATTGGGGCATATCCTCCATCAGAATTCTCCTGTAATGTAAATGCAATAGAAATTTCTGTTGTTTGCACATCTGAACGAATGGCATCAGCTCTTAGCTTTTGTGATACAACAAACCAAGTCATTTTCTCATTACCAAGGGCAACCTCAACAATACCATCATCTAAAACTTTTCTCCGCATAACAATGAGTGAATGATCAATCAAGTTTCTGAACTTAATGCATCGGAGACGATGTAGAAACAGAAGTAAAGAAGGATGAAGATCTGAAAACATGGATAAGATGTGGTTCATAGCAAAGCCTTCCACCATTTTAGGTCTAAAAGGGAGCACAATGCATGTGTTCCACAAGTTCCGGTCCACGTGATCATCATCTGTAGCTGCCAATCTGGCATACAAGTCAATATCACATGGAGGAATAACTGTTGGCAGAACAAAACCAATCTGGCCTTCAGTTATGTCGAATTTGATATGGAACCCATTTGAATGAATTTCAGGGGCATCTGTAACCTGGGAATGTGAGAAAAAACAATTATAGCATACCACAAGCTAGGGATAGTAGAACTCACGTAAAAAGATACCAGCACAACAACACATTCAGTTGATAGTTCATATGTATAAACAAGAAGCAATGGGAATGTATCGTAAAGGTATACTGTAACATGCGAAATCAATTCAATGCACTGCTGTTTGGCTTTACCAATGAAACAACCCTCTAGTTCCTAACACAATCTTTAGTCCAATCTTTTCTCAGTCACCAGGCTTTGGCTAATAGTAAATTCCTTAATTTTATCATTCTGTACTTCAGAGTTACAACCTCCAGAAAATCCAAATAAATATATTGCTTAGAGATACAAGAGGAGCTGCTCTACAAAACTTACTCATAGACTGAAGATTACTAGAAATCAAGCAGTTCATACAGCCCCAACAGAATTATGTCCAATTCGTTTTTTACAAGCGATTAAATGAGTTGAAAATAAGTAAATTGTTACTGAAGTTACTAGCGTAATCTATTGACCGCCTTTTGGTTTAGGAAACACTCATGCACAACTTTATACAGCAAAAGACAAGTCAACTCCAAATACTGTTCCAAATTTTATCATGTTTCCAAACCATTTTGACATGTTTTAGCGAGTAATGCAGCAAGTGAACTTGCGAAATAATGTAAATGCCCTTAGAGGTACCCGAAAAACTGATTTGAAGCCGATGCCTTTCTTCCCAATGTATCCAGCACTATGACCTATTTTCGTTGAATTTCCAACGTCACACAGTGCTCTGATGTTCTTGGCTGAAAAACCTTCCTCGTTATTTAGTACAATAATGCCTTCTTCCCGGAGAATGAATGTTAAAGTGGGTTCCACATTTTTGGGGTAGATATTATCATCAGCATTTTGAACCTGTAAACAGCACCAGGAATGACTAGCTGTCAAAATAATAATTATAGCGACTCACTAATGATTGAAGCTATTCAAGAATCATCAGAGATGATTCGGGTTTTTTGCTACATGACAAGGAATAAATCTTTTCCGTGGTAGGATCAGTAAGGCTATGGCTACACGACAATCTAAATACGTCCATTTTATGTGAGCTACTATATATGAGGTCCTAAGTCTATTGGATTGGATTTAAACTAAACAAAATATAAATCAAAGGGATCAATGTATATTTTCTAAAATTATCTCAGCGAAGTAAATTATTGTTAGGTATCAACATAATATAGTGCATAATTACTCTCTTGCTAGAGTAAGAGCTCCATCGTCGTTTTTCTTCGACCATGATGACCTCTCCTTGACTTTGCTTTTCTCCCTCTAAATTAGTGATCTTTAGGAACACAAATTATGAAATTCCTACATAAGAAAATGCCTACACTTGACGCATTGACACCTGAACAGGGTCCAAACTTTTCAATGATTCATTCTGAATCCACTTACCTTTTAACCACAAGATTCAGCTTTAATCCTCCTAGTCTGACTATACCGAAGTTCTCATGCATAATGATGGCTATATCTGATGATACTCTCTCATTCAATTCAAATTCGACAACTATCTAAAATACAGAATAAAAACCAAACACATTCGGATAAGGTTAATAATGGTTCATCATTACGAACTAGGATGTTCTTTACAGCAATTTTACTGATAGCTATGCAGCTATCTACTCAGGGGCAGGATATGAGAGAGTGATATGTTGATTCCACTATTACCTACGCAAGTGGAGAGCTTACCTTCACTAATTCATCCCCAATATTTATGGGCATACAAGACCATTAATAAACCAGCAAGAGTGATATGTCAATTCCACTAATACTATTGCAGGTGGATAGCTAGGCTTATCTTTACTAATCATTATCTCAATATGGAAGATATTATATACATAACCAATAATAATCAGCTTGCTGGAGTACACATGGCTGCCAAGTACATAAGCAGGCATAACCTTAATTTAATCAACACGAAGACATATGAATAAAACCGCAATTAAAGGGAATGCAAATTTTACAGTCAGGAAATGCTCAAAACATATAAATGGGCATAAATGTAAAACGTGAGAACATTGTATAGTCATCTAGATAGAGAAGTCGCTATTTTCGTGTGCATCTACTTTGTATGGGAGTGGAGGGCTCATACTGTATTCATGCTAAATAAAGTTAGTTGGACATTTAAGCATACCAGCTCCAGAAGAAAGTGAGAATCCTGGGAATACAACTCTTGCGAGAGACAATGGAGAGCCCTGCCTAATCGAGCATGCTGCTTCTCCAACATGTTATTTTCAACTGCTGAAAGACTTGTATCTATACCGAATTCCTCTCTCCTGATAGATTCAATAACTCTGACTGGATCACCACCACTAAGATTATTGGGTGGCAATTGATATTCCGAACTTCCAGCCTGACATTCATGGAATAATTTAACTGAATCAGCCTCAACACTGACTCGCTCATCACAAGAAACCGACATTCCACCTGAAGAGAGATGCTTCTCCAGTTCACCTTGGCCAACCACGGATGTTTTACTTATATCGGGATTAGCCACATCTAAAGATGTAAGTTCAGATGAAAATCCTGTCCCTGCAGAAGAACAAAAAGACTGGTAGTCCTGAACCCATTCCATCAGCCCAAGAGACATCCCTACCTCATGAAGCATGAGACGCTGTTTTATCTGGTTACATTGGCTCAAGACAGCTGCAGGAGCATTGCTCACGAAAGATTGCAATCCAGTGATCAATACATCTGCCGCAAAACGGCAAAATTCAATTGGCAGATAACTCAAACATTCAAGAACAAACCTTGCCATAACTGGAGTTGCTCTAGTCAGAATACTTCTATTATTGAGTGACTTGCTAACCACATCTCTGGATGTGCTTTCACCAGCAGTATGCTGATCAGATGATAATTTCCCATGTATGAGTGGATTCTTACCATTATGTAATTCTAAGAGCAGATAATTATCAATAATCACCTCAAAACCTTGGCGTGCATAGCACTTTAGAAGTGACTGGGGAACATTATTTTCCCCCCCATATAGTACAATCAGAGATAGTAATTGCACTGCTGTTTCAAAAGAAGACCCTCTAATGAGAACTTTTAAGAATGAGTCCACAGTAGCTGAATGGTCAATACGGATCACCTTGCCATCCTTGGTAATCAAACACAACAAATCTTTGGTGTTGACCTCCTTTAACAACCATTCCACAATCGAACCAAGAGAAGGAGCATACAGAACATCCCAATGCAACCACATGTTTAAGTCGATCATCATAGGAGCCTTAAGTATCGCCTCCACAGCATCCTTAGTAGTAAATGCAGCAACCATCCCTTCCACTGTTGTATTATAGGCAAACTCACTAGTTTCTTCCACTTTTTGTCCATTTTGAGCAGCTGAATCACGCACACGATTTAATCTAGACAATGGTACAGAAAACAATACAGAACTTGAAGATAAGCTCTGTCTTTTTTCTCGTAGCATATCTGGACGATTTGTCTTAAGATCACCGTTACCTAGCTTGAAACACACTGAAGGAAACTGCTTTGCCAGCAACTCGGAAACATTCAGCATGTTTATAGATTCATTTTCCCGAAGGCTGTCTAAAGCTTGTGATAATAAAACTTCCAACTGAACTGGCAACAGGTGTGCCTCCAAAGAAACATTTTCAGATATGTCACCCCCAATGCACTTTTGTAACGCTTGAGGCAATAGGTGCAAATATTTCTCTACAAAAATTAAATATTCTCCATAACCAAGGGATTCAAACTTCTCAACGCCATATTGCTCAGTTAACCAACCCTCGCACTGGGAAAGCGTCCTGAAAAGACGTAACTTGTTCTCCAAAGAAGTACCTTTATAGCAGCTGATGTCATTCTCCAAATATCCACAAACTTTCTTTGCAATATCTTGAGCACTAGCATCTACAAAATCAAATATTTCAAAGAGTAAGTAACTGCAGATAAGCAAATGCCATTAAAAGTGATGGCTAAAACAAATAACACGTCAACATTTTTAGAGAATTAAGCATCAAAATTTCAGCCTTGAGATACAAAAGAATAGGCATTAGTAGTATTAGGTTTGAAGCATCGATTCCCGGAAAGCAAAGAGCACTATCTAGGATGGTGAGAAAATGTTTCAAACCAATTCAAGTCTTTCTTTCTTCTCTCTTTTCATTATTTTTTTTAACTAAGTTCTTCAAAATATAACAATACAGGAGTGTGGCAGTCTATACATTTTCTCTCCAATTTAAATGAAGTTCATACAAAACCTATGCAACATAGGATTAATTGCAGAGATACAAATATAACAAGCAACAACTCATTAAAGCACATCGATGTCAGCACACTTCTATAGGAAAAACAGCTTACCACGTTTATGTGCGCGAAGTAGCTCTGCTGAAACAGCAACATCCTTCTTAGCTGGTTCAACATCAATGCTTATGTAATCAGGTGAACTCTCAGATTTTTTGCCATCAACATCTTGTTGGCTTAAAGTTTGGAAAGTGTCATACATATGATCTGACATCCCAAATTTTATAAAAGTCACCTGTAGCAGCCAGAAGCTAGTAAATTAGAGCCATATATAAAAAATGAATCTGCAAGCAGAAAAAACTAGAATGAAGAAAGTAAGAAAATGTTCAGTCAGCTTCTCAAAATTATATTTGATAAAAGAATCATGTTTGTAGTAAAAATTTCCATTAATGAAGACCAGTGGGAGGGTCGAAATTGATAGATTCTTATACACAGAACTAAAAAACAAGCCTGTTCATGAAAAGATGTATTCTTTTGTTTTTCATTCAGAATAAGAAAAGATTTCACGTGATTATAAAGATTTTCACATCCATAGATCCAAAAATCACTTTGAATCTATTCTTTCCAAAATTTATCCCCCATAGCATTTTCCTCTCAGTATGCAGCTCTTTCTACCTCTTCAGTTCCATATCTACTAGAGTGATAGAAGTGACGCCGAATCCAGCAGTCACCTCCACTGCACCTGGTATACCATAATACCATCATCTCTTGATCTGTCTATCTTCCTGTTTACTCTAGGATTGTGGAAAAGATAGTGACGAATAGTATAGCAAAGTAGATAAGAAGAAAAGGAGAAAACAGCAGTGGAGAAGAAGGGTGCAGATGGCAGAAACGAATCAGGTGCAGAAGATGAAAAGCGAAAAGGAATGGTTTTGGAAAAGTTGGAGCAAATGAGTGCTAGTGGCTGCGCAAACAGCAAAAGAAGGCAAAATTAGAATGCAGATGAATGTGACAGCACAACAAGAGAAAGAGGAAGAGAATACTGGATACAAAGCAGCATAAGTTAGTGGATGACAATATAGAAATACAGCAAGATAAAGGAGAAAGGCTGAAGGAGGAGACTGATGGTGGCAGAACACAGACAGACCAGAGAATAAAGGACGTAGAAATGGACTATTAGGAGTAGCAAGAGTTAAAAAAGAAAGCCTGTCGCCAGGAAAAACAAATAAATAAAAGAATGCACTGAGACTGTACATGGATAGCTTTTGAAAAAGATCATCAATGCCGTTTTGCGAAATGGAAGATTTTTGGAGTTGGTGATATCAGAAACAGGGGAATGGAGGGCATAATTTATTGACTCACTGAATGGTTAGCTACAAAAAATGTTGACCTAATGAATCAAAGAAAAAGACCATAAAGTAATCATGCTATTCATCAGGATAAGAATATCATACTCCAGCAAGACAATGCATAATAGAACAGGACAGCAACACCACTGTGGCATTGACAAAGACGATGAAACTGAAAAAGAACAGTCATTTTTCCAATGTGACACTAATACAACCAGTGTTTCCTTTGCTTTATATTTCGGTTCACAGTAATGACATCATTATATCTTAAAATGGTACCATGTCCGTCTGTGTAACCTAAATTCATATTGCATCAAATGCTTAAAGTGCATGATCATTCTTAATATATTTAGTTATTCGAGAAATAAAAAATGCAAAGTTCACATTAAGGAATCAGGTGCTAGTAAGATGGGCATTACCACAATCAAACTATATCAAAGAAAAGGGGAAAAAAATATTGATGACGTGAACCAAGTTTCTATTACCTACATAATCCAGAACTTAAAATGTCCATGTGGAACAAATTATTACACCACAAGTGTTGCATGTGAAAAGATCTCAAACCATCCAAGAAGTCAAGAACTATATATATTCAGAGGAAATTTAGAGGAAACAGGAAACGAACCTAAGTTTCTTCAGTTCACTGTCTCCTCTAACCAAATTAACATATTGAATTAAAAGATGGTTTTATAACCAGTTTAAAGACCAACCACTATAGCAAGAGGCATCCTTTAATCTTTAACAAAGTCATGAAGTCCTCCCACGCAGATGAGTCTTACCTCTCATACCTTTTCTAGGCCACAGGCCCACAGGCCAGTAATTTCCAAACTATTCACAGCCCCCAAACCACCACCTCCCCCACCCTCCAAGAAAAAATCCTAAATATAACACTGACTTTTCGTTCTAATTTCTAATTCATGTTTTAATCTGGTTTTCCTACCTACCTACCTAACTTACGTTTGTCACCATATAAGTCTGTAACTAGCAATCAATGATTAGCGGCTTATTCCACCATTATCATTATGTTTCAAATGTAAACCTCCACACCCTTTCAGTTGAGTATACGCTTTAGCAGAGACTAGAACTCGATAAGAATAAATACTTAACTAAATATTAACCAAAGCACATCCCAAAGACAAAACGGGAACAACTCATGCCAAATACTTCAAAGCTAAAGGACTTGGATATCTAAACTTGAATAGCCATAGATACTCACAGCAGCATGGAGCAATCCGCAAAACGGGTACAATTTGAACATCTCTCTTGCTCTCTTTTTCCACTTCGCATTGTAAAACTGAAGCATCCTCTCAAGAACCTAAGGCAAGAATATGTTAGGAATGGGCACTGAAAGTTTACATAAACATCAAGAAGATGAGTCAGGCATGTAAAAGCAAAAATGTAGAGCAGAAGAGAGGAGTGGCGGCAGAAGACATAAAATTAAA